GAAACGACTGTTTCTTTAAACTTGAACACCGCCAAATTCCCCGATAGTACATTGATGTCTCAAATAATATATCGTGTGTGACAGATGTCGGTGTCGCGGTCGTCGTCCCGCACGCCGGCGCCCGCCGCCAGCGCCGCGCCCGCGCAGCCCGCCAAGACCTCGCAGGCCTCCAACAGGTACACACACACATTAAAACTAAATTATCTATACTATTATAATAAAGCGTAAACACACACTTCTTCGTTGCCTAAGATGTCAGCAATTACAGCATATTTTTGTATAATTCTTTGTTTAATAAAAAGCCCTACACTTACGTCACGCTTTAGGCTATATATTTTCACGGCATTAAACTTAGGAGGTAAATATTTTGGATAGAAGCCCTAAATGTGGAAAAGAGACCATAAGTTGCTGCCAACATCAAGAAAGTAAGATTTGTCATGTCATGTCATTTTGACATTTGCAATTGATAATTTTACAAATGTGAACAATAAAATAAAGTTTTCCTAATTTCATGCGAATGAAGCCGCACGGAAACTGCTAGTAATATAATAAAGGCGGTTATTTTAGAAACCGCACCTATTGTGAGGAGATTCCTGTCTCTGCCCTGACCACTGGTTGCTTGAATCATCGGATTCCGCAGCCGGTGGTGTTCTATTTTTTATTAATGGTTTATTTTTTTATAACAAATCATGTAAAATATATTATACTAGATGTTCCCATGCGACTAAATCCGCATGAAATTATGAAAATTTTATTTTATTGTTTACATTTGTCAAATTATCAATTGTAAATGTCAAAATGACTTGACATGATGTTAAAAAGGTTGCCATACCTTGCTTCCCTAATGTTGGCAACAACTTATGGTCTCTTTCCCATATTAGGGTTTTTATCCAAAATATTTACCGTGATGTAAGTGTAAGGGTTTTTATTAAAAAAATAGTTATTAGAAAATTTGGTGTAATTGCTGACATGTTAGGCAACAAAGAAGTGTGTGTTTACGCTTTATTATAATAGTATAGACAAATAAATTGTAATTGTGTAGCAGGGGCTCCGGTAGCTCTACGGAGTTGCAGCGCCACCATTCGGAGCGCGCGCGGGACGACGTGCCCGCCAAGAAAGGTAAAGGTAACCCGGCTTGTATCACAATTTTATTATTTTTACATACAACAAATACAGCAAAAAACAACAAATCTTACTAACATTATAAATGCGAAAGTTTAGATGGATAGATGGATGTTTGTTAGCGTTTGTAGCGTAAACGGCTGAACGGATCTCCATGAAATTTGGCACAGGTTTAGAGCATAGTCTGGAAGAACACAGGCACTTTTTATCCCGGGAATAGTTACGGTTCCCGTGGGATTCATTAATTTAGTTTTTTAATGTTTACTCGATCATTCTGCAACGGTTCAACATATCTTATTGAAATTTGGTACAGATATAAAACAAAGTCTGCAGTACACATGGGACAAGCTTCATCCCCGAGAAATGTCCGGTTCCCTTTTTGTAATTTATATAGTTTGTATGTTTTCTAATACCACGCAGACGAAGTCGCGGGCAACAGCTCGTAAATCATAAATGCTAAAGTTTAGATGTATGGATGGATGTAGAGGATAGTCTGGAAGAACACTTATGCAACTCTCTTTGATTTTTTTTAATGTCACGCAGACGGAGTCGCGGGTGATAGCTAGTAAATTATCATACGAAAGTTTAGATAGATGGATGTTTGTTTGTTAGAGTTTGTAGCATAAACGGATGAACGGATTTTGATGAAATTTGGTATAGATGTAGATAGCAAGTAAGACCACATAGGATACTCACTTTTTTTTTTATTCTACACGGACGAAGTTGCAGGCGAAAGCTAGTTTTTGGTATAGTAAAAAGTTTTTATTATCTGTTGAAGGATCATCTTCGAGCACGGCCAGTCAGGGGAGCAGTTCTAGTAAACAACATCAGGTGAATATTTATAATTGAATTACCTAATATTTTTATAAATAATTAATGTAGCAGTAATTTGCTAATGGTTCTTTTGCGTCTAAATACATTTTTAGTAACAGAAAAGCTATACACAGAGAAGAAAAATAGCAAGAAAATTACGCGTACAGCCCGATAAGTGTGGTGTCGGTGGCGTAATTTTAGTCCCTTTTCCTTTCCACGGTTTTCTTAAGAGGTAAGGATGGGAAGGAAAAGTGGATTTGACGGTGGAGGAGACGCAATGGAAGGGGAAATGTCCTCTTTATGTGCGTCTCCTCCTCCGTCAATTAAGCGGCAGCGGTCGTTTTCCATTTCGGTGGCTGCTTGCTCGTTTGCCATCTTATTAAAAAAAAAAACGCTTTTTAATGGGTTGCGAATTCGGTCTGTGCTTCCCCCACGTAACGCACTCCTAAAAATCGGCGCAATTTCTTACGAGTCCTACCATCGATCAGTGTGTAAAATCATCCCATAGCATAACACTTAATACAATTAATCCTATGAAATAGTTTATCGAGTTTAAATAGAAGATTACGACCTACAGAAGAAATTTGAGAAGTTTATAGATGGACGGTATCCTTGATGTATGTCGTGTTGCAGCAGCTGGCGGCGGCGGCGGCGGCGCAGATGGCCTTCGAGCAGCACAGCGCCGCCGCCATGCAGGCGCTGCAGCATCAGCTGCTCAGAGGTAACACATCACATATTGACGGGGGAAACGCTATTTGTTACAACCGCCATTTGAAAATAAAAAGTGCTTCTGATCTGATAGCAAATAGCGATTTCTGCGTCGTTTAAACCGTGTTTAATAAAAATCAGAGCACTTTTGTGGCGGTTGAAATAATCAAAATGTAGGTATCCATGTATAAAGCGACAAAAAATCAGCAGTTATTAAT